TCGAAAAAGTAATCTAGGTGGGTGGAGAGAGAGGTTGATTACTGAATCCTTGTTCATCGAATCTACACCCAACACAACACAACACATACAATAGGAATCACTCATCACTCACACCGGAAATAAGAATACTACTACCAATCAAATCAAGCGATGAAAAACAATGGAACTATATAAATGACGTTAGGAAGTCGTGTGATTACCTTGATATGATTATGAGCAATAAATTGTGCTCTACCTGTTTGTTTTCGACATAGAACTTTGCACAAATGTGCGGAGGTTCAAGTCGCCACACTCCATGTATCACAAAAAGCAAGAGAAGAAAGTACAAGAAATGCATATTAGAGACAGTAAACAGAGGTGTGAGACAAAAGAAGAGTAATAACGAAGAACAATATAGTTTCATTGGAAATCATAAGTCACAAGGAGTGGATGTATCTGCACCAGCCATTGAGAACGATCACTTTGAGCCATGTCACCAATTGTTTCCAACCATTGGTTTATACCGTCCCGAGGACCCCAACCAGGAAGTCTTAACCTTCTTACGTGACTGGCTTAAACTAACTGTTGTGAATTTCGTTGACTGGTGACATGTGTTTATTTGACCGCCGCTAGCTTTTTTCCAGCCTGACCCTATGTCAGCTAACATTTCCTGTTGTCGAGGAAGGGGATGACTAGGCATACGTAACACATGTCCTAACCATCTCAGTCTTTGTAACTTCACAACCTTGTCGATTGATTTCCCCTGTTTACCTAGCAATCGACGCCTAACCTCAACATTGCTCACCTTATTATGCCACTTCACACGGGAGATAGAACGCAGGCACCTATGATCGAAGACAGCTAATCTTTTCATGTCTTCCACTCTCAGTGGACAGGTCTCACAGCCATAAAGGAGGACGGAGCGGAGTGATAAGCAGTACACCCGCCCTTTGGTCGATAGTCGGATATCTCGTGCTCGGGACATTGTCAGTGAACATTACCGTAAAACACTGTGAGACTTTATCAAAAACAGTTTTACCCATAATGAAATTATCTACTTGTTTGTTTTTACTCAGAATGAAGTTCATTAAATCATAAGCAGTAAGCTATTTAATCACCAGTGCATATAACCAAATAAAAAGAAAGTCTTATGTGGATTCATTGAAAATGCTTTACTTAACCCAGTCAAACTTATCGAAAGAGAAGATAAAAAGTGAAAAAGTATATGCTAAGCAATGAGGTTACATTACACCTCATTTTATCATGATATAATATCATAATAACAAATTTAGTAAATTCAAAGGTTAACACGCTTATGCACATACGCTGAATTGGAAGAATTATAATCCGAATTAAAATAAATGATTTTATCTCATGAGGACGATGATTATATACCGATATATGTTCATCTCATTATGAGTTTATTACATAATGAACTACTGTAATATTGTTCCAAATGGATTTTTTTAATTACATATGAGTTTCGAAAACAATTTGAACCAGTTCATGGAATCGTTGCATCGGGGTAGCTTCAGGTGAAAATTCACTTTGACAATACGTAGATAGATAAAGTATTCAAATTATCTGCTTAACCCTATAAAAGCAACAAGTATGAGCACAGCAACACATCGTTCGAATCAGTTAGTTAGTTAGTTAGGACTCAGTTAGTAGTAACATATTTGAAGGAAACCAGGCTGCATACACAGCATGAAGACAGATGATAGTATACAGTGGTCCACACTGACAGGTTCCAACAAAAAACTCTTGCGCAAAAGTGCAGCAGTTCGAGTTACCACTCTCAATCCAAGACCAAGAAAAGACAATAAAGGCAGATAATAAACAGAAGTGTGAGGTGAAAAGGAATATCAATTTAGAAAAACAATGGAGTCTTATGGAATATGACAAATCACAACAGATGAATGCATCTGTACCAGACATTGAAAACGATTTCGAGCTATATCAACAGTTGTCTCCAACCTTCATTGGTTCTTACCATCCTGAAGACCCCAATCAGACAGCCGATCTGCACCTCCCTACTTGACTGATTGGCTTAAACTAACTGTTATGGATTTGGTTGAGTGATGAAGCCATGCTTTGGTTTGACCACCACTAGCTCTTTTCCAACCTGATCTATCCTACTTCGGCTAACATTGGCCGTCGGTCGAGGAAGGCGATGAATAGGCGCATGAGTGACACATATCCTAACTATCTCCAATCGATGTAACTTTACAACCACCTCGTCTACTGATTTCTTCTTCTTACCTAGCACTCGACCGATTCCTAACTTCAATATTACTCACTGACCTATTATACCACTATCTGACACGGGAGATAGAACGGACACATATGATTAAAGACAGCTAGCCAGGCTTTCCATGTCTTCCACTTTTAACAATCATGTCTCACTCACAGCCAGTCGTAAAGGAGGATGGAGCGAACTGTTGAGCAGTACATACGTTCCTTGATCGATAGCCATCGGAAATCACGTCAAGTGATCTAGAGATGGCGTAAGTTGACATACCCCTAATGAGCGTTCTGCATCTATGCTGAGATTTCGTCAGCGATCAACCCGTTGGGACTGGCTGATGAATCTTCCTAAGCAAGTGAAGTGGTCAACACACTCTACCACTTCACTTGTGCCTACGTTTAAGGAGGCTGGGAGTCAATGTTGTTCAGTCCCGTAGCATCACCCTACATTTGACAGAAGCGAATCGTATGCCAAAAATTCGAAGATTCCTGCTCAAGGTGTTCAGAAGACTCTGCATCTTGTCAGCGTCTTCCATGAGATTATCCCCTTATGGCAAGTCAATTCCTGAAGTCAAGGTTAGGTCCATCTATGCTGAAACTAAGCAGAAATGGAGGACAGTCGGAATCCCTGAAGGATCTCAGTAGAAGTCACCACTTCAGATGACAACTCGCCGTAGGCTTTCACCTGGCTAGCAGCATCAGTCCGAATGTAGTGCCTTGATCAGTGCAATGTATTTTCTCGTCATTCCCTTCACAGCCAAACACTGCCCTAGTACATCTCGGTCGACAGAATCGGATGTCGCTTTCAGGCGAAGAAATATGTCAATTCTTGGAGGCCGGTAAATATCCCACCTGTGTTCCAGAATTTCTCGAAGGGTGAAGATATGATCAATACACCCTCTTCCTGATCTAAAGCCTGTCTGGTTCTCTCGTATTTGTGCTTCCTGAACACCACTTAGTCTACCCATAATTATTCAGCCTAGAACTTAAGATACCACCACCATATTAGTCAAACTAATCCCCCTGTGATTATTACAGGAAGACCTGTCTCCGTTTTTGTAAATCGGGATAATCAATGACTTACGCCAACCCAACGAGACTATATCTGATTCCCAGACGTCGCTTAATATCTTAGTCAACGCAGGTAGTATGTTGTCTCCACCATCCTTAAACACTTCTGGAGTCATTCCATCAGGTCCCTCTGCCTTGCCTCGTTTCAGACTAGAGACAGCTTTTGTAACCTCAGTTAGGGTTAGGGATGGAGGACTGTGTTAATATCCCACTTAGATAGGTGTTGAATGCTGGGTAAGTTGAGGGTGGCTGAAGGCCTGTGAAACTGCTCCTCAAAGTGTTCTTTGCACCGTCCCAGTCGTCTATCCTGCGAGCTAATTAGGGCATTTACACATATACTAATTAGGGCATTATTTTTCTCGTAGATCGTCTCACTTATCATTGGGTTTTTACCACCTGTTTCCCTGATAGGCTTAAATAGTTTTCTAGTGTTACTTATCTCTGATGCGTTTTCCATCTCTCTCGCTTTCGTCGCCCACCACTGTTAACGGTTGTTGCCAAGACATTTTGTCAGTTAGCGTTCAACTCTTTATCATATTCGGAGCTTGGATGGATCAGTCTTTTTGCATCTTTAACCCCGGATGAGGTCGCAGTAATCCACTGGGCTTTCACTAACTTTTGGCTTCATGTTATCCATAGCTTTTACAGCCATGTCTACAGCTAGTTGTACATTGTGCCCAGTAGGCCAGTCTGAACCAAATGGAAAGGGATTGAAACTCAGAAACTACTGACTAAGGGTTAAGTGTTTAAACCAATAAGCCACATATTAATGACATAACTGGGGATCACTAACCGATTATTATGGCTTGTCTGTCGGACTGAGTTGTATGAAGGAGTGGAAACTGCAAATTAAATGTAATGCAGTTGTATATATATATATATATATATATATATATATATATATATATATATACGTAGCAGAGATCTAATCATATGATTCAGAAAAGTCGTAGTAAGACGCTGAATCTTGTCCAACTGCTGTGATAGAAGACTTTCCACTGCAAAAGTGAAACAATGGTGGCTCTAATCTCATGTTGAATGTTTGCCGTTTAACACCAATGCTTCATGGGAAAATAAATATTTTTATGGATTTAATGGTCATTTAAACGATAAAATATAAATGTGGGTGCGTGACACTGGCAATGACTTGGTCCTTAAATTAACCTAAGATATTCGCAACATCTAAACCCTGGATCTATAATAAGAATAAAAAATATTTACAGTGTTACTTTTGGTGTATAGACGCTGTTAAAAACTCGTGTTCGCGACGTATACTTACGTTGCTTCTACTAGCGATTTAATGTACCTATGGCAATCAACAATGAAATTCAGTACATCAAGTGTTTTTATGTGGATTAGACTATACACCAGGCCATTTTGTATGTTAACTGGCAATCGCAACTAGCCTTTTAAAAGTTGAAAAATGTAAATAGATTTACACTCATGGACTAAAGTTAATCACAAAAATGAAATAATTTGGTGGTTATCAATACACATTCTGAAGATCCACATATCTTCTCTGTATTTTGACCATGAAAACGTGACGTAAAGCGCTTGCGACAATAGTTGAAGTAAGCTGTGATATGAAAAAAAAAATATCCACAAAATCACTGACCGGAAATAAAATAGGCTTATCATTCCCTGTATGTGTTAGTTACTATCAGTATAGTCATAGAAATGAAATGGTTATGCAACCAACTAACCCATGTTTATTGCTTCAGATATATGCGCTAAATCATCAACATGCACGATATCGAATAAGGAAACATTCAGTAGGCTGACGTCTGTATATCCAGAGAGAGCTAAGAAGCTATGTATAACAAAATAAGAAGAAAAAACAGCAAAAAAGAAAAAAATATTTTTAAGTGTGAGTGAGGGATAACCCATAAAACAACATGAAAAAATAGTAGAGTTTAATACAAGCACATTTTGATGCGAAACAAAGGCGAAATGGTTTAAATTAGTTAATTACGCCATCGTAATATGTGAAATGCTTCACACAGCAAACGGTTGTGTGAACAAACGCGATGATTTTGGTTGGTTGAATAAATACAGCACCTTAAATACAATACTACAGTGCGTTGGTGATACAGTGGTTAGGACTCTCGCCGACCATGCACATGCTCCGAGGTTCGATACCCTGTCGACGCACACCTAATACCTATGGTCGGCCTGCAAACTTTGGGCTTCCGATATCCATGCTGAAAATTCCATACTTGTACCAAAAGTACAGTGTGGAATTAAGCTGTAATCAAAAGAAAATTAAAAATTTAAATACAGTAGTACAGATACTGGAAAGTGCTACACTTCAGAGTAGGAAGTATGCAAGACTGGATGAATGAAATAATGATTTTAACCTACCGAAACAGAATATTATGTTCATCTTTCACAGTGAGATAAATTGGATATATTTTTCCGCTACTCTGTGTTCAACTATTCCATTAGAATTACGATTTTCCAATCAGAAGTATGAGCGATTAGTTGTAACTAGAAATAACTCAATCGATCTGGTTTGCATTCTGCATACAAATGTTTATTTACGAGATTCTAAGTTATACAGAATAAAGAGATATATTTAGTGTCTATCGTGCAGACGATAGCCATGATTGATAATAGTTGGAGCCAGTGACTCGCGAAACCTCTCGGGACCTACCTAGAAAGTTATAATTTATCAATGATTACCAGTCTAACGCACACCTGTCACATAAATCATAGAGGTATGCTATGAACTGACCACTCTTTCGCTTCGTCCAACCAATCCTAACGGTAGCGAATTTTATATTGGACGTAATATGAATTGCAGTTGAACAATTCGATCTTCAAACTTTGCATACGTATTAAACGAATTTTTTAACAATACTCAAATATTAGTAGGGAAATACTTACTTATGATCCATATCCAAGAATTTTAGGTTTGACATAGAATGGTATGTTTTAAACGAAGCTGACAGTCCCGTATAACAAGTAGGTTGATCAACAAATTTCATATTCATCTCGTATTCATATACACCATTATTGTTATTCAGCTCTGTAGATGATGAATCCTTTAAGAAGTCGTAACTGCCTTTAATTTTACTGCGACATGTAGTATTATAAATATTATGGTTAGTATTGTTACTATTAATAGTACACACTCCATGATTGTCTTTATTGAGGTAGTCACTTGTGTTACTATTTCCTTTATTCAAACACATAGGTTGCAACAGATAGATTCGAAGATTTAAATCCTTCTTAACTTGATTTTGGCATGGTGGAAATTCAATATCACTACCATTATTATTAGTAATATTGGTGTTATTGTGAAAGTTATCAATACCATTGATGGACACTGAAGTAGCACCGTCAGTACTGGCCTTAATGCTACTCGAGGGAATTCTATCAGCAGGCTTATAACTCCCTTGTGACGGGATGAACGGCAGTGATAATACCGATGATGAAGATGATGTTACCTCTGTTGTTGCATCACTTGATAACGAAAGCGATTCATTCAAGCACGTCATTGAACTATTCCAGCAAATAGCATACTTTGAAAAGATAAATAATAAATGAAATAATGCATAAATCAGTTAGTTCATTGTCGAATACAAAAAAAATTACGTTGATAATTATGCAGATTATCAACAAAAATGCCACCACATATCCAGACTGAACTTCACATTCTCATGAATAAATTTTTTACTAAGATGTCATCAAAACAAAAGTGATGGGCGTTACTATATACACTTTTTCATAAACAGTAGATTATTATTGAAGACAATATTTACTGAAAAGTTTTTGTTGAACAATTATTTTTATTGCTTTGGAGAGAATCGTATCAGCAAGGGTTATGAGCATATATGAAGCATTGACTCAGTGTAAATCGTACAATGAAGAACAATCAACAGATGACATAGTTTGAATAAACCTTCATCAATGCACAATAATTCAATCAGGTTTTTTCATATAAAACTGAAATATTCGCAAGGTACATTAAGAGCTAAAGAGAACAATTGTAATGTAAAACTGTACTAATTGTACCTCGAAGAAAGCTTTGCGTAGCAAAGGTCCTAATGACCATTGAATATTCCATGAAATCATTTATGCTTTGTTTATAAACTACCTTTTCAAAAATTCTTTTCAAACTCATAACTCAAACACTTATAGTAAGTTCATTCATTTTCTAGTAATGAACAACACACTTCAACAGCCTTTTGAACTTTTTACTCACCGTACTCACTACTGATCCTGACAAGCACTACTTACCATATCTTTTGTGCCATTAATTTTCTAAAATAAATAAGTTTTTTTTGAGACAAATATAACACCATTGTGCGCCGGTGGCACAGTGGTTAGGGACTCTCGCCGATCATGCACATGCTCCGAGGTTCGATACCCTGCCGACGCACACCTAATACCTATGGTCGGCCTGCAAACTTTGGGCTTCCGATATCCACGCTGAATATTCCATACTTGAACTAAAACTACAGTGTGGAATCAAGCTGTAATCACGAAAAAACCATAGCGTCATATTAGTCGGTCTAGATCATTGTTCCAGTTCTACTTGAAAAACAAAAAGTGTCCCAAATTAGACTGAGAAAAACTAAGATTTAATAGGAATGATAAACAACAACTACACATCAGAGTACAACAATGAAATTTGAAATGGACACCTAGTGCTTGCTGTGACTGAACTCTGATAAAGAATTGCCCGTAAACTCAAACATTATTGACTAGATTATTAGGTTGGCACAATTACTACCTAAGCTATCGTTATTAATAATATTGTTGTTGTTGTGAGGACATTAACGCCAACTGTACTGTAAATACACCAGAGTGACAAAAACAAAATATTATGCTATTGATGCTGAAATCACAAGGCAAAAATTAAGTCACCTAACTGTTCAGTTTAATTTGAATCGTTTATATAAATCTAAAATGATATTTCAACTTTACTCTTTTTATGTAAAATAGCTCTAAAGATAACGAAATCTATGATCGGTTGAAATGTCCACCTATAACCGAAATAATTTGAACACACTTTGCTTACTGACAAACACCAACAAACAAACTGAAAAGAAAATTAATCTCAGTCTAACGTTGTGAATTGACTTCATTCAACAGAGTAACGGAATGCATGTCTTCATAATAGTAACTGCTCGAAAGCGAACATCAGTATAATATTTGTGTTGAGAACACACACACACACTACAAAAGACGCATTGGTATGGAAACTATATAAAAGAGCCCTTCTATATGTAAAGAAATTCTGTCAAAACATAAACGGTCAATAAATTTATAAACAAGGCAGAGAGATGAACATTTTGAAATTATTTACAATAATGAATCTCAAAAATGTTATGACGTAAACAAAAACAACAGCTTGTGTGTTATCGTCATCTGTTCATGTTTACCATATGTGATGTTAAAGAGTGTGATAGACACATTTTGTACAGCAGAATAAAAAAGGGAGCGAATGAAAATGGATGGAAAGGATGAAGAAAACGTTTTTTTCACGAATGAAAAACACATCTAAGTGATGATTATCTCATTTGTGCTGATGGTTCAATCCATCATAATGGAGTAGACAGAGTGTGTACTTGCAAAAATGTCACAAAAATTGTTGCTACCCACAAATGAAAATGTGTAAGATCGAAAGGATAAAATACTGGGATACTCTGTTTTTGCATAATCTATTTTTTTTTAATCTAATCGCATAATAGAACAACACTTGTATCTGTCATTCTTGACACTAACTCTTCGCTCAATAGCAGATGACTGTTCATCATAGTGTTATTCACTATCAACGTTTTTAGGTCACTTTTCGGCTTCTAAGCTAATCTGGACTATTTAAAACTGCAGATTAGGGTGCAAGGTGTGTTCTAATAGTATCGATACTAATAACGCCCTGAATTAATTGAAGCATGAGTCTTATTAGTCCAGAGTGTGGTATTGATTATATATATATATATATATATATATATATATATATATATATAATTTCCAAAGAGGGATAGATAATAACAATCGCCCACCTGTCTGGATTATTTTGTAGTAAACAATAAACAAAAATTATTAAATCGTTATACAACGAATATTTTGTACAAGGGAGTATTTCATAAACTATTCATCGTAGTCAAGAGTGAGACTTAGTGATCAACAAATGAAGATGGAAAAAAGCATTGCAATAAGGTGAAATTCACATTTCGAATAGTCAAGCTATTTGTTTGCATAGTACTTCAATACTTGTACGTTGAACTTTTACTGCCTATCACGAGGGGAATGCTGCGTGTGAATCAATCTACCAGTTACAGTCACTTGTATCTCTTACTTAACATATTTTATATTTTACTTGGAAAATAAACTTCATGAACAAAAAACACGAAGGGAAAGTTTGATGGACCATGTGTATCTTAAATAACTAGTAGTTGAGGAACGAGAAATTAAGACCAACTTAGTCGAAAAACTTTAAAGTTTATTTCGGTACATGCCTTTTTCTTATTCATCATGAAATATCACCTTAAGGAAAATAATATTAGTAGATTGTAATTTTTCACAAGTCAATCTCACTTCAGGCTGACACTGTTGTCTAGATGGACAATGATACCTATGCTGTCGAACAGTCCAGTTCAGAGAACATGACAACAATAAAAACACGTATTTGAGATATAAAATTTCTATTTCGTTTCATATGTTGTACACTTAATAATGAAGGCATGATCTGGCTACAGTTTAATTAGTGTATATCAAAGAAACTGCTTTTTTTCAGTCGTATCTAAACTTACACATATCATGAAAATACAGAAATCTATCCCACTAGTGTATGTCCTGAAGTGGTGATTTTTTCAACTATTCACCTATAATTATGTCTACTGAAAATTACAGATTGAACAATTCGATATAAAATACGCCCCTGAAAAAAGCACAGTCACTGTAAAAATTATATAGCCAATAATAATAATATTACTAGCAATAGGATGATAATAACAATAATACAGATCATTCAATTTTACTGACTGAAACTTTAATGTTTGTAAAATAATAATAATAGTAATAATAATAAGACATTTTCAGTGTTGAAGCTAGATAACAGAAAGTACGGTAAATTAGGCGCTGTAATTTCTGCAACATTGAAAGACTTAGCATCACAAAACGAAGCATGTATTTGGTCTGGGCAATCAACAGACATCTCGTGGAGATACGGGGCATTCATATTGACGTATCTGACTTCAGAAGAGGACAGTGGAATTACCACGCCTCACAGAAGTAAGTGATCATACGACGGCGTTAATTGTATGATTGAATACAAAAATTGAGTAATCAGTCTCTCATATCTTTAGTACACGTATTTTAAAATTCGTTTAAGGTTAATTTCATAGTCCCTTACTTTATTCAATCGCTGAATTCAGCTCATCGAGACGACTCCAACATTCCGAATATCAATGACTTCATTAACCCCTAAAATTAGTATTGGTTATTGATTTTCTCTTCTGCCTAACGACAACTCCCTGATCTGCTACAGGATTTTATGTAGACGGATGATTATTTGCGCTGCAATTTCTCAATATTTCGGATTTTGTCTTCATTATTTTACACTACTTTTTGTGCTATCAGTTCAGTGTTTAAAGTGTTAGTTTTACCGTTTTAGATGCACTACAGTTTCAAAGTCTGTAACTAATGGGAATCTGTGGCGTCAGTCTCAAGACATATTCCTTAAAATAACAAATGCTAGTATGATTATATTTAAAAAATAAAAATTAATGTCCCACGATACCTAGTAAGAAACCTCACAAATACATGAAGGAATTATTGCATTGGACAAAATCTGAATTTTAAAAATCCTGTAGATTTTAAACACTTAAAAGATGCAAAAATTCTACACTTAAATGAATACATCAACATTTTGCAAAAATAAACAATATCATGAAGACTATAAAATCATACAAAATATATTTCTGCAGGTTTTGACCACTCTTTCTTTACGGTTGTTCATTTTGAAGGAATTAACATCAAAGTGAGAAAATTGAAATGTTAACGGGAAATGCAGAGATCACGAAGTAGAATAATCGATTCTTCACGATTGAGTACACACTCAATTCTACTTAGAGTCAGTATAAAGGCATTTAGGTTTTTCTTAGTGGGTAGGTTATTGTTAATCATGAAAATGCTTACAGTGTTTTCTTGTAACTACCCGAATGAAACAGAAGTAGTAGATGAACATTTAACTGTAACAGACTTAGTGATGCTGATCACACGGTCAAGTCATACACAAAACATTTAGTTCTACACATGTACTTCGGTACCGTATATCAACAGTGGATAGAATAAATTGGACTGAACCTTAGACTTTGTATAACACAATATAATAAAAAATCTAAGGACTCGAAAACTATGAATAATGTTTGCTACTAACAGAGAGTAGTGAGTAAACTATTTCATTTTTACTTATTCGTTTTTATAAAAGTATCTCCCTATTTCTTTAAACGTGTTCACTTAATATGTTTATAGGAATGAAATGTTTGGAAGCTGATTGTCTGAATGATGCAGA